GCTTCCAAGATAAAGAGGAACTGGGGGAATTCACAACCACTAATCCAACTCTACAGAGAATACTACAGGACATTCTAAAGAGAGAGAAAAGCACCAGGATTTCAGGAACAGTGGCAGACAGGCCCCAGCAAATTGAGCAAAAAACGAATTGAAGAAGACAGATAACTAACTAATGACAGAAAAAAGAGCACAACAGAAATGAGGCAGAGAAGGTTGGATATACTTTCTAATATAGATGGCCTAGATACACTAACTTAAGGGAAAAAAAGAGAATTGCAGGCAGAATGGATCAAGAGATAGGGTCCACCGAGAGGCTCTTTATAGGAAATATAATTAACCTGAAGAAGGGTATATGGACCAAAATCAAATATGAGAAAACAGAACTAGATGTGATAGGGAACCAGAGAGTAATAGGGGTAACTGAGCCAGTATCTATGGATAGGTTGAAAAGACAGGCTTTAATAAGTGAAGAAATACAACTAGAGATCAAGTCCAGGAGTAAGAAAATTCGGAAACAGGTAAATAGCAGGTTGCCTCCCCCAATATAAAACCATAAGTGTTGGGGAGACCCAAAAATACAGAGTATATCCTGGGGAAGGAATAGTCTTAAAAAATACAGCAGAAGATATTGCTAACAGTGTATTAGGAGTTAAAACCCTTATTACTCGCACCACTCTGCTTGGATGGAACTTGTTCCGTCCCAGTTTGTATACAACTGAATCTGAGAGCACAGACAGCTGTCCTGAAGATATCAGGACATAGCACACTGGTCATCTTTAAATTTCCTATTAACTTAATCCAGATCCCTGTATGACTTATACTGTTGTATCATGACTGATCTTAGTTAAATCTGATTTGTTTGATTGCTGCTGCTTATTGACAGATTTATTCAAAACTGTTAGGCTGATGGTATCAAGTTAGAGAGTATAGACAACAATACTGAAAATGATAATGATTCACTACAATACCCATTCTGATTTGATTACTACCTGTTTTTGTAGCTCTACACTATCTACAGAATTATATTTCTATTAATTCTGTTATGTACTGATATGTTCAATTATACTTTATCTGATGATATAGCCAATTCTGTTGATGATAAGAAACAGCACAGTGACTATGGTAGAACTCCTTATACAGCAGTTTTATATGTCTTTTTAGTTTTATGTGTCTATAGGGATATGTTTTGTTCCATCCTGCTTTGTTCCGTTTCTCCCCCTAATATAGAAAGGATAGAAATACATGTTAAAGACTCATGCTTGCGGGGCTGGGGATTTAGCTCAGCGGGATAAGCGCCTGCTTTGCAAGCAGGCAGTCGTGAGTTCCATCCCTGGTACTGATAAAAAAACGAAAAGACCAAAAAAAAAAAAAAAAGACTCATGATTGCATAAAACCTATAAACAGTTTATGAGAACTATCTTATGACACATGATGAAATGAACAAATACTGTGAAGGAAAAAAAAGGGGCACTGCAGTATCCAGTGCTGATTCTGGAGTGTCATAATGTAAAATCCAGCAATACTATTAATCTTTGTTCAGAATGATTTTAATTTGCTATGTTTTCTTTGGTCTCAACATAAATGAAGATATGGATAAATGTGTACATGTCTAAGTACATAGGATTGATAGCCGTATTACTTAGTTTTTGTTGGATAGTTGAACAGAACTGTTTGCAGTCTCCCTGGTTGAATTCCCATTTATATGTTCTACTTTTGTATTTTGAACAATTATTTGTGGGGGGACAATATGTATATATCAACTAGTGATTTATTACTGTTTATTTCTTTTCTTTGAAAGTATGCACTATTTCTGCCCATTTTCTGTTTTGTTTTGTCTTTCTTTAAATAAAATTTTAAAAAAGAATGGCATCTCTATAATTTGCAGAGGTAAAGATATACAAAAAAGTCAATTTACATAACTCAATTAAGGTAACAGTGGAATTGTTTTGGTGGGCTATTGCTTTGGTTTCTGATATGCAAACTCTTGTGCCTGGGGAGTGATAGCCTCTTATCTTGAGGCTCTTACCCAGTTGACATTCCTCGAGCTGTTTGCTCTAATACCTTGCCAGCTCAATCCTGTTGTGGAGAGCACTGTGCAAGGAAACAGGACTGTCTGATGGCAATAGACTTTGTATAATAGCACTTCGTCTAGCCTTACTTGCAATGCACAGAGCAAATTGAAGAGAGAAGGAAATATCCTAGCCAGCCTTTCACATATAAGGAAATGAGTTTCCAAGTAATCAAAGTCACAGCAATTGTTTTGGATTCAAAGGGAGTTATTGGAGTTGCCTCTCACAAGTGTGATGGCTACAGACTTTGCACATTAGCCCCTGGGCCAGTCTTATTTGTAATGCTCAGAGCCAATTGAAGAGAAGGAAATACCCTGGTCAGCCTTTTACATATCAGTATAAGGAAATGAGTCTCCAAGTCTTCAGAGTCACAGTAATTATTATGGATTCAAAGGGAGTCACTGGAGTTGTCTCCCACCCTATATGAGAATTTATTAATCCCAAATGATTACCCAATATATTCATTCATACCTAGTCCATTCCATGCTAAAAGTATTCACTCATTCATCAGATATTAAGTGCCTGCTCTGTGTAGGGCACTGGGCTGTGTGCTAAGAATATAAGAGTCTCTGTTCTTTTGGAGCAAACGGGTCTAGCAGGAAACACAATGATTCAAGCAATAACAATAAAATATGATAAGAATTATTGTGATGTAGGAGAGTGGATGGTCAGAAATTGATGCTGTGTACTATCAGAGTACTGTGCAATGAAAACAAAAATCAAAGACCAAAGAAATTTCAGAACAGGCAAAAGCTCCTGGAAAATTAACAACATACTCTTAAACAATCAGTGGGTCACAAAAGAAATGTTAAAATTTCTGGAAGTTAGTAACAAGAACTGAATAACTCTTCAAAACATCTGGGACACTATGAAGGCAGTTCCAAGAGGAAAACTCATCATAACCAATGCTCACATTAGGAAGACAGAGCAACCCCAAGTAAGTAACCTCATGAGAAATCTTAAAATACTTGAGAAGCAATAACAAACTAGCCCTGAACCAAAATTAAGGGAAATTGTAAAGATGAGTGGAAATCAATAAAATTGAGATTAAAACACAGTAAAAAAAAAGAAAGTCAACAAGTTGAGGAGCTGGTTCTTCAAAAGAATAAATAAAAGAGATAATCTGTAGACCTGAGTCACCAAAAGAAAGCAAGAAAAGACTCATATCAATGCAATTAGAAATAAAAAAGGTCAAAATCATGACAAATACTGTTGAAATCCAGAAGACAGTAATTACTTTGAAAAATTACATTACAACAAATTAGCAAATTTTGAAGAAATGGACAGATTCTTAGATACATACAAACTACCAAGACTAACCCAAGGAGACATAAATGTTTAACAATCCAATAACAAACAATGAAGATAAAACATGTAAAACACTTGAAGATATAGGTATAGGAAAGGATTTCCTAAATAGAACCTGAGTTGCACAAGAAATAATAGCAAAAATAAACAAATGGGACCCTAATCCCAGCACTCGGGAGTCTAAGGCAGGAGGATCACTGAGAGTTTGAAGCCTGCCTGGGTTACATAGTGAGTTCAAGTTCAGCCTGAACTACATGATGAGACCCTATCTCAAAAATAAATAAGTAAATAAATAAACAAATGGGCTTATATCAGACTAAAAAGCTTCTGTACTTCTGCATACAAAAGAATCAATCAGTAAAGAGACAACCTACAGAATGGGAAAAAATTTTTTGCTAGCTACTCCTCAGACAGAGGACTAATATCTAGAATACACAAAGAACTCAAAAAAATTAAACCACATCAAATTAAACACCAGTCAAGAAATGAGCAAGAAAACTGAACAGATACTTCACCCAGAGGAAGAAACACCAATAGTCAACAAATATATGACAAAATGTTAAAACATCTCTTGCCATTAGAGAAATGCAAATTAAAATACTGTTAAGAGTCCATCTTACTCTGGAAAGAATGGCAATCAGTAAGAAATCAAATAATAACAAATGTTGGCATAGCTGTAGTGAAAAAGGAACCTTCCCTTATTGGTAGGAATGTAAGCTAGTTCAGCATTGTGTAAATCAGCCTGGAGATTTCTCAAAGAACTAAAATTATAAATTTCATATGACCCAGCAATCCCAAACAGCTTAAGTCATCATACTACAGGGATACATGCATACCAATGTTTATAGTAGCACAATTCATAATAGATAAATCCTGGAAGCAGCCTGTATACCAATCAGCACACAACTGGATAAAGAAAATGTGCTATCTATACATAATAGAATACTACTTGGCTATAAAAAATGATAAACGTGATACATCTGTAGGAAAATTGATGCACCTGGAAAATAGAACGTTGTAAGAAATAAACCAAACATACAAGCTTAGGCACCATATGATATCTGTCATTTGAGTGAGGCAAAGTACAAGCAAAGAAAACGGAAGGATGGGTCTCTTGCAACAGGGCAGTAGTTTGAAGGAATGAGGGCAAGGAGTGAGGAAGGGGAAATATGTGAACTGTACGAAATCTAAACATGTACAAATAATATTAAAACTTAATAACAGACAAATCAGTGCCGTGACATAACTTAGCAGGAACACCTAATTTCAAGTATAGAAAGGCTTTCCAAAGAAAGTGACACCAAAACTGGGACAAAAGATAAGTGGAGTTAGCCAGGAATGAAGAAGGAAGCGAATGTTTAAATCAGAGGGAATAACATGTGGGAGAGTCTGGAGGTGAGACAGAAAATGATAGGTGGTTTGGAAAACTCGAATGAATGAATGAATGATGAATACAGCATTTGATATTTCATAAGACTTATAGTCAGTGGTCCCATTTAAGTTATTCCCAGACAATAAAGTCCCCATTCAGAGAAAAGGGCAGAAAATAGAGAAGAGGCCTTCTTCCTTCATCTCGCTTCTGCCCAGTAAGGAGCGTTAGCTGTGCCATGTCCCAGGACTTACCGCCCAGTACGTTGAAGCTCTGGCCCACTATGACCCCCATGTAGTTCTGGTTCTATGTGGCAAACATTTCCATTTGGAACCCCAGGCATTTTCCTCTTCTCCTTTTAACATAAGACCACAGAGTTAGTAAAGTCAGCATCTATCTGCCCTTCCTGCTAACAAGGGAAGTGGTGATAGGATAACCTGAAGCAACCAAACTGCTCGAGTGTTTGATTATTTCAAATGCATTTACTGACTTGATACACACTGACTTTCATGAAAGTATATATGTGTTTACATATATAAAATTTCTCTTCCTCTCCAAGAGAACCTATCTATAAGAGAAACACAAAAGTGAGAGCTTTTTGATGATGATGATGACAAAGTTTCAGTTCCGATCAGCTTCTGTGTAATTTTACTTTACTTTAGAACCTTGCATGGAAGATCATTTTATTCTTCTAAGGACAAGAATACCTTTCAGGGAGATGTTGCTGGGAATATTGTATTCAGACATAAAGCACCTGTCCTGGTACCTAGCACAATTGGATTTCTTTCTCCATGCTTAATATTTCAGAAAAGTGTGAGAAACTCTTTATGCTTTCTCCATAAAATTGATTTTTTTATTTGATGATTTTATACATGATGTACTCTAAAAAATGTTCTCCCTCTCCTCTTAACTATTTTATATCAACCCTTCAAAATCTAGTTTAAAATTCATATCCAGATAACTCTGAGATGTCATCACATTGCAGCCAATCCATGTTACAGTATATTCAGTTTGAATTGCAGCTCAGACATTCTAGGAATCCCCAATCACGGCCATGCTTTAATTTATTTAGCATATGCCCGCATGATCTTTGGTTTGTTTGCCACAGTGCTTTAGTGAAACTAGCTACCGCAGGTTAATGTGCACACATTACCTGGGATGGGACGTTTTTGGGTGGCTCAATTCTAATGGAGGGATCCCATTCTCCTGGAGGGAGCACAGTCACCTGGTCTAGGAACTCATCAATCCCTGCCAGGAGATCATCTCGTTCTTTTGCTTTATATGCCACATCATGAAAAATCTACAGAGAAGAAAAACTTCTTAGGAAAGTTGAAGGTTACTTTTCTTAAAACAATCACCAACTGAGACAGTGATAGATGGATACAGCCTCTTGATTTTTATCTCTGTCATGGGGATATGAGAAGCAAAAACTTAGAAAAGTATAAAGATAAAAGGATAAAAAAACTGAACCTAGATATTAAGTGGGTAAAAGAACTACATATATGTCTGCTAGTGTAAGAAGAGATGCATGACTCTAAAATTGTGTAATTTGAGCTGGGCACAGTGGCTCACATCTGTAATCCCAGCACTCGGGGGCTGAGGCAGGAGGACCACTGTGAGTTCAAGGGCAACCTGGGTTACACAGTGAGTTGTAGTCAGATCCTGTCCCTCCCCCCCCCAAAAAATAATAATAATGTTGTATAATTCTATTGTTTCTACAAAGAATGGAACAAAAAGTAGGATTATAGAAAATTTTCTTGATCATTATGTTTGAGGAAACTGGATGAAATTACTAATGAGTGTCTTCTGTGAGATAAGCTCTCCAATCAAACTAGCTGATAAAGCACAGCCCACATTTCCCTCTTCCCTCTTTTAAACACACCTTGAAAACCTTACTTTGGAGCTTACACTGGAAACACTGATCGTGTATGAGTGTGGCACAGTGTCAAAATGTCTGGTAGCTTGGTACAGACAAGCCAGGACATTCCCCTACACTCGGAGGTCACAGTCCTGACCTATGCAAACTGCTCTCCCTTATGCAGGACAGAGATAAGGTTTCTTTGTACTAATAGCTTGGATGTATTCAAGGAAGTTAAATCAGCCCTATTTCTCCACACATTCTATTTGGCAATAATATATTTTCCAAAAAGATTTCTCTACATCTTTGATTACTCAAAAGGTAGAGATAACATAAGAAGAAAATTTCCGGGGCTGGGGATTTAGCTCAGCGGCATTAGCGCCTGCCTTGCAAGCAGGCAGTCGTGGGTTCGATCCCTGGTACCAATAAAAAGGAAAAAAGACGAAAAAAGAAAAGAAAAGAAAAGAAAATTTCCTCAGGGGGCTTGGTCTTCCCACAAAAGGCTCTCAGAGAAGAGCCCTAACCTGCTTTTGAGCAGACACCGCAACTGTAAATTCTATCCCCAGGAATTAGCACAGTACATGACACAGAAAAATACACTCTATAAATATTTATGACATGAATAAAGCATAAGTGGCATGTACCTCATCTGTCATGATGGTGGCCATGGACCTGCCAATCTCATGGTACTGCTGACCTTTCCCTACTGGACCCAATAAGACAAACAGAAATCTGGCAAAACACACAGAAGAAGAAGTTATACAAGTAAAAGCGAAGACATGACACCTTGCTCCTTTCTAAACAGTAAAACATTTCTCTTTCTTATTGAAGATAAATCATCCCCATACCTTCAAAAAATTTAATTAAAAACAAGGAAACATACTAATATGGAGTTCTTCAAGATGCCTTGATCTAGTAGTTCTGACATGAGAATTGAACACTATCTGTACGACATCATTCAACAATGTGGTCAAATTTTTTAAGGTTTCCATTAACCTAGCTTTTCAAGTTCCTAGTTTCAGAAAGGACAGCTTTTCAAAACATGGCACTGTGCAAATCAAGGTTATCTGGCACCTATTCACTGTTCTAATAAGAAAACAATAGGGAGGAGAGCGAGCATAAGGATGCTGCCACGATCGAGCCCTGCAGAGCAGTCTAAATTGTGTCCTGGACATCTGAATACGCTATAATTAGTGGGGCTCTGAATCACTGTCATCACCACCTTCAGAGTGCATGAATAGCCTTTGAACAAATGCAGACATATGTGCAAACCATACAAACCCTGACTGAATTGTGAAAAGACACCAATACCTTTACTTGGAAATGTTTCTAAGGAATTTATCTCTGTGGAATTTAGAAAGTGAGACTTAGGCTTCCTGTTAGAATGCGTGACTAGCCCTTGCTGGGCCTTTTAAATCTCCTCTCATTTCCAAGACTGTAAGTACGCATAATCTTAAAATTTACAATTCATCTACATGGTCACTAAATAAATAAATGCTAGTTTTCTAGCCCACTGCTAAATTTTAAACACATTTTCAAAATTAATTAATCCTGGGGCTGGGGATTTAGCTCAGCAGCATAAGCGCCTGCCTTGCAAGCAGACAATCGTGAGTTCGATCCCTGGTACCAATAAAAAGGAAAAAGAAAAAAAAAATTAATTAATCCTAACATTTGGCATTAAATGCTTTATTCTACAGTGCTCACATAAATTTATACTTTGGATGGGATGCATTGGGTTTTTTATAATTTATTTTTGCTTGTTTTTGATTGGTCCATGTTTAGAGTACACAGTGATTACATTCATTCTGGGGAGGTGATACATGTACAGACACATCTTAATTATCTTTCCATCCCTTCTCTGCCCCTCTTCTCCCTCCATCTCTTGGTCCCCTTTCCTTCTGCAAAAGTTTTATCTCCCTGTTTCCTATTCTTATCTTTTATATGACCTTTAACTTACTTATCCTTTGAGTTTCTCACATAAAAGGAACCATGAAATAGTTAGCCTTGTATGTCTGATTATTTTACTTTAACTTCTGGCCTCTGAGTAAACCATTTTTCTACAAATGAATCAAATTTATCTTCTTTATGGCACAGTAGGACTCCATTATAAGTAAATAAAGAGTAAGATAAAGGAAAGAAAAAGTAATATTCAGATACACTGAGTTTTATCTTTGCTTTTACCTCGTTGGGATTGGCACTTCTGTCAGGCCTGAAAGAAGAACAGCTGGAGACAATCTCACAAAGGCAACGATAGGCCGGTCCAAAGTGTCCACCTCTCCAACCAAGACATTTGAGGCCTCTGCCCCAGTGGGAATTTTTTTCATAAAATGAAGGTCAACCTGAAAGTGCAAAAGAGCTTCTTGATTTTGGAGTTATCATCTTAAACATTACTCACGTTCCACACAGCTTACTTTCACATGTCATTTTATGGTTAACAAATGTTTTTCCTCACATTGTTTTATTGATTCTTACCTATCTCTGCATGATTGATAAGATAGGCCACATTAGTCCCACCATTTAAAAAATAGGAGGAGGAGGAGGAGGAGGAAGAGAGAAAAGGAGAAGGAGAAGGAAGACAAGGGTGGGGGAGAGGAGAAACTGAGACTCAGAAAAGTGAAGCTGACTTTCTAGGGCTACAGAGCTTTTAAAATAATCAGAATTTAAATTCCTATATTCTGATTTGAAACCCATCCCTTGGTGCTTCCTCAAAGAGAAATGTCTTTGAAGCTCTGGGTCATATGACTTGGCTTAAAATACCTGATTGCTTTGTCACTGTCCTCAAGTTTTCTGAATAAAACAGGGAGCCTGTGAGCTCAGGGAGAAAACTGTTATGACAGTCCCATGGTTCAGAAGACAGTGTCAAGAACAGATCAGAGCAAGGAGCAGCTGGAAGGAGGGAGACCAAGGCTAGGAACAGAAACGGAACAAGGTGGTGCTAATGCGGAGGCCTTGGCTACCGCAGCCACAGTCCACGTGAGTTTCAACAATAAGGGTGGAAGAGTTTGCTTTAGCAAAACTCATGGAGATGAGAAGGAGCTTCAGAAGTGCATACATCAAAATATAACTGAAAAGTCAGGAGGTCTGGGTTAGGAAAGACTCTCAGTAGCTAGTCCCATTTTTTTTAGCTTCTTAAATCTGGAGGAACAAACAGTCAAAAGACAGCCTTACTTAGGTGGGGTGGAAGGCAGAAGACATAACGTGGCAGAAACGTGATTGTTATTCCAAATAAATATCTCTAGTCTGGAATACTCATATGTAGACTATATGACTCAAAAAAATTTCAAGGCTCAGTCGAAAAATGGGCATTTGAAATGAATACTTTTCAGATGAGAACAGTCAATACATGAAAAAATACTCAACATTGATGGCCATTCAAGAAATACAAATTAATCAAAACAACACTGAGACTCCATCTCACTCCAGGAAGAATGGCCATTATCAAAAAATCAACTAATAAGTCAGGTGTGATGGCTCACGTCTGTAATTCCAGCACTTGGGAGGCTGAGGCAGGAGGATTGTTGCGAGTTCGAGACCAGCCTGAGCTACAAAGTAAATTCAAGGCCAGCCTGGACTGCATAGTGAGACCTGTCTCAAAAAGACAAAAAAAAAAAAAAAAAAAAAAAAAAAAAAAAAATCAACTAATAACAAATGCTGGTGAGGGTGCAGGAAAAAAGGAACCTTTTTCCATTGTTGGTTGGGAGTGTAAATTGGTACAAGCACTATAGAAATCAATAGGGCAATTTGATCCAGTTGTTCCCTTTCTACATATCTTCCTGAAAAAGTTAAAGTCATTATAACAAAGTGATACATGAATACCTACATATATACATGTTTATAATAGCAGAATTTATAAAAGATAAATCTTGGAAATAGCCCATATGCCCATCAACAGATTAATGGATAAGGAAAATGTGGTATTTATAAACAATGAAGCATTACTCTGCCATAAAGAAGCACAAACTTCACACATTTTTAATCCTAAGTGAAATAAGACACACAAATTTAAACATCACATTTTTTCTCTTGTGTGAGAAATCCAAAATATAAATAATGAGCAAAACAGAGGATAGTAGGAGGAAGAAAGAAGAAAGGAAGGGAAAGAGGATTTAAATGAAAAAGGAAAAAATAAAGAAAAAAATGGAAATAGAGCTTTTGTAAATGTGAGTGGGAGAAGAGTTGGAGGCAGGGGAGTAGAGAGGGACTTTGTTTTAAAAAAGAATCAAGATGCGTTATGTACATGTACAAATACTCCATGATGCACGTGTTCATTATGTGCTGGAAACATGTACTAACAACAACAACAACAACAACAAAAAACTCAGGTTGAAGAAAGTCTTGAAATAACAAAACTTACGCAGATTCTGGCAATTGGATGCAAGGCCACTAGGGTTAGCCTTAAACCTAAAAGCCTGCTCCCACATCTCTGCTCACCTTGCTTAAATCCACAGGACTGTGTTCACAATTCACTCCATTTTTCACTTCAAGATTTGCACTTGGAACAGACTGAGGTGATATAGTTTGACCTATTTGGAGAAAATCAAACATAATCTTCTAAGTGCCTGCCCTTTTCCTCTTCTGAAACACCCCATCCATTATCAGTTAGCTATCACTTCTCCCATGATGGCTACCTAGAGAGGAAACCAAAATGAATATGAAGGCAGGACCCATTCATACCTATCTCCCTACCAGTGAGTTAGTGATAAGAGGAAAACAGACATCTTAACTTCTGCACCTTCCTGAACACATCTGTGGTCCTTTTAATTTCTCTGTTTAAGTAATAATATCCTTAACCAGAGTGCATATGAGAGAACTCTACAGAGAACTTTTCAGAAATACAGATTCCCAGGCATATCTCTTCACACTGTAGTTTAGTAAACAAGAAGACCACGAGATGAATATAGAACAAATGAAACCCAGTCCAGTACAGGAAAGGGAACCAATCAGCAGCTGAAATTCAGAATGTTTACAATCACGTTTCTGCCTAAAAGATTTACATAAATTTACTCATGGAAATCTCAAGCTGAAGGAATAGGTTCTATTGTCTTAATTTTACAAATGAGAAAGTAAAATTTAAACAGCTTTAGTGGGTTGTCCAAGGTCATACGTTTTACAGGTAGAAAAGCCCGAAACCTAACCATAGAAATATGATTCAATTCTATACTAGTAGGGATACAGCTCAGTGCTGTATCACTCAGTAGAGTGCTTGCCTAGCATGTGTGAAGCCCTGGTGCAATACCCAGCAGGTAATGTACTACTAAAAAAATTCTTGTTAAAGAAAAGATCTTGAAATATCAAAGCTTACCTAGATTCCATCAATTGGATACAAGGTTCCACTAGAGATATCCTTAGATCTGGAAGTCAACTTCTCATGTTGGGGGAGGCAGGTGTATACCACTATACTTGGTCTGCCTAATCAGTAAGTCATTTGTTTACTTCTAAAATGCTCACATCCTCTGGCCCAAAATTGTCCCAGATATAGATATCTCCCAAAAGCCATTCAGTTCTGAGAGCAACCTGGGGCACAAGCTCTTTACCTTAGGTCTACTGAGCTGCATCAAAAACAGACATCTTAAGTGCCAAAAGAAAGACACAGGCACTGCCAGCCACTCACCTTTCTAATGGGCATGAAAACATTGCCCTTACCCTCTAATAGCTCAGCATCTCCAATACTAGTAAAGAGAAACAATTATCACTTAGAATAATTTTACCATTTTTATCCATTGAATGTGGATCAGACTGTTTCTTGCCAACCTCAGCAAAGGAGCGAACAATGGGAATGAGGTTGTTTCTCTTCTTCTCATTTTGATGATGATGCTTTTTGAGAAGAGCTTCCCGCACTTTAACCCTCATGCTGTCATTCAGGTCACTGAACAGTTCCTGCTGGTCCAGTATCAGGTCTGGAAGGCAGATATTCACATAAAGGCTCAAATCGAAAGTTGAGGAATCCACGGAGGCCAGCATCAGGTGGGTGGAGCTGAGGCCAAGGAGGAAGGGGAAGCCACTCCAGCAGGGTCACTGAGGTATAATTTCAGCTGCACTGTCTAAAAATGCTCTTTGATTACTGTGGCTATGAAAAATTACACTTTATTCATTCTTTTAAGAGATAGGGTCTTACTATGTTGACCAGGATGGCCATGAACTACTGGGCTCAACTGACCTTCCTGCCTTAGCCGTCTATGAAGGTGAGACTACAAGCACATGCTACTGTCCCCAGTTCAAATCACCATTATTAAGAATAAAACTTATCAAAAAAACTAAGTAATTAACATGCACCAAGATTTATAATGTGAACTTCACACTTATTATCCAGCTAATCTTCACAAAAACTCTGAAAAGCAAATATTACACAACAATTTTTACAGATGACAAAACTGACGACCAAATGTTATAAAATTCTCCACGCTCTCACATCTAGTAAACTGTCGAGCTAGGAATCATGTTCAGGACTGTGTAAGTCAAAAGCCTACATTATTACCCACTCTGTTCTGTCATAGGCCAAACTTCTATGTTTCCTCCCTCCAAGAATTTAACACCACTGGGATTGTCAAGAGGACCATAACTGCGTGTGGCTGTTGAGAGTAGTCTGTGAGACAAATGTACCATCATGTCACACAGCTACTATCGAGTATCAATCTTTATCCCATCATATTCAGCAGATTTAAAGGGCAAAGGGTCCCTGTACTCACTCGGTACAGTCAACAGAGCCGTTTGGGTATGGATCCTGCAGCTATAACTCCACATTTCGTCACTTCTATCACTTTCGTCATTCCATCACTTTCTATTCATGTGATCTTGGATAAATCACATACTCTCTCTGCTCTCAGCTTCCTTAGCTGTGATAGGGAACTGAAATTATCACCCACCCTCTAAGACTACAGGCTGTTATGGAGAATTAAATTACATGATATATAATAGAGTACCGATTCAAAGTAAATGTTTGATACAGTTTACTTATCCTTATCACTAATATTCTGCATATACAGGTACCAGATGTGAAGACCATAGCAGTTGTTATCATTGTTGTTTTTGAGCCGGGGACTTGCTATGTAGTGCGGGCTGGCCTTAAATTCACTATGTAGCCTAGGCTGGACTTGAACTTGCAAAGATCGTCCTGTTTCAGCCTCCCAGTGCACCACTGTACCCAGCCCACAGCAGTTTTACTTGATTCTTAAATACATCTCCCTAAGCCTCCCCCAAACCTCAACCTATCCTTAACTTCTAACTCCACAAAGACTAACCAAGTGCTTAAAGTAATAAATGAGAATTTATTTCATATTCAAGCTGAAGATCCATATTTTTGTATCTCTAACCTTTATATTGGTTGATTTCTTTTTGTGCCCAACCCAGTTTATATTCAGGAGGCTTCATTTTGAAAGGAAAAAAAAGTCAAGGTCCCCTCTACCTACTGTCTCCTTTTTCTCTTTCTCTATCACTCAAGGTTCTCAAAAGAAAAATTCTTCAGCCCTTTGGGCTATGCCAATAAACCTGCTTCTCATATAATCATTAATAACCTTGCTAAATCTGATGGACATTCCTGATCATTATCTCACCAAACCACATTGAAGCATTTGACACTGATAAATTAACATTTTCTCCTCTCTTGACTTCTGTAATTGGTTCAAAAGCACCTCTCAAAAGATCTATATTCTAACAGATCTATATTCTAATCTATATTCTCACCAAAATCTGTGAATGTGACTTTACTTGTAAAGCACTCTCATAGATGTATTTAGTTAAGATTTCAAAAGGAAGTCTTTCTGGTTTACCATAGGCCCTAAATCCAGTGGCAACTGTTTGTATAAGACACACAGAGAAGACCCAGGTAGAAGAGAGAAATCCAGCGAGCTGAACATTTCCTCACGTATTTATTAGCCTTTTGTACTTCTGAGAAACAGCTCTTCACCTTGCCAGCCCATTTTTGACTGGGTCTTTTATTCTGAGGGACTTAATTTTTTTAAGTTCTTTATATATCCTAGATGTTAGTCCTCTGTCCAAGGAATTGCTGGCAAAAATTTCTTTTCCATTCTATAGGCTGTCTTTTCACTGCTGGTTGTTTCTTTTGCCATGCAGAGGCTTTTTAATTTGACAAGATCCTACTCATTGGTTCTCAGTATTTTCTTATGCCCTTGGGGTTCTGTTCAGAAAGTCTCTACTTACACCTGTGTTTTCAAGAATCGTACCTATTTTATCTTCCAACAGAGGATAAAATGTTTTGTTTAACATTTACTTCTTTTAGTTTAGTACATGGGGAGAGAGATGGTTCTAGCTTCAGTCTTCCGCATGCGGAGAGCCAGTTTTCCAGACACGGTTTATTAAAGAGGCTATCTCTCTTCCAGCATCTGTTTTTGGCCCTTTGTCAAAGATCAGAAAGTTACATGTACTTGAGGGGTTCCTTCACCTTCTATTCTATTCCATTGGACCTTATGTTCATTTTTGTGCCAGAATCATGCTGTTTTATCACAGTAACAGCACAATATAACTTCAGGTCTGGAACCGCGATACCTCCCACTTTGCTCTTTTTACCCAGAATGGTGTTTGCTCCTCTAGGTCTCTTCTGGTTCTATATGAATTTTAGAATTGTTGGGGCCAGGGATGTAGTTCCATGGCACAGCACCTGCCTGGCAAGCACAAGGCCCTGAGTTCAAATGCCAGTACCAAAACAAATAGAATTGTTTTTCCCATTTCTGTGAAGAATGCTGTTAAAATTTTGACTGGGATTGACATAAATCTGTATAACAATTTTGGAAGTATTGTCATTTTGACTGTGTTGGTTTTGCCTATTCTGGAACAGGGAACATCTTTCAATTTTTTTATGTTATCTTAGAGAAATGAAAATTAAAACAACACTCAGATTCTATCTTACCCCAGAAAGAATAGTCATCATCTAGAAATAAAATGATAACAAAAGATGAAGAGGCTGCAGGGGAAAAGGAACTCTTTTAAACTGTTGGTGGTACACTACCATAATCACAGAACTTGGGAGGCTGAGGTAGGAGGATCGTTGTGAGTTCGAGACCAGTCTGGGCTACAAAGTGAGTTCAAGACCAGCCTGAACCATATAGTGAAACTTTGCCCCCAAAAAAGACCAAAAAGCTACATTGAGATAACATCTTATCCCTGAAAGGATAGCCATAATCAAAAAATAATAGCAAATGCTACAGAGGATATGGGGGAAAGGAACTCTTTCACACTGTTGATAAACTAGTATAACCACTATGGAAGTCAGGGTGGAGATTCCTCAAAAATCTAAAAACAGAAATTCCATTTGACCCAGCTAGTCTCCTTCTAGCTATCTTCTGAAAAGTTAAAATAATCATATTACAGGGATATATGCATACTCATAGCAGCTCAGTTCATAATAGCTAAATCTTGAAAACAGCCTATATGCCTATCAACAGATGAATGGATAAGGAAAATGTGGTATTTGTTCACAATGGGTCGTATCCTTTGTCATAAAGAAAGATAAACCTGAGGCATTCATTGGTAAATGGATGTACCTCGCGACTTTAATGTTAAGAGAAGTAAGTCAGACACACAAACTCAAATATTGCATGGCTGGTATATGTATGCGTGAGAGAGAGAAAGCACAAAATAGAAGACGGCTAAACAGGAAGTAAGGATAACTTCAAATAATTCTCCAAATTACCTTCTACTGTTTCAAAAACATTTTAACATATATGCTAACTTTTCTCATTTATACTACGAGTTTCTCTTAGTTAATTGAAAAGAAACTTTTGTGCTATTATCTGTTTTATCTTTGTAAGAGTCTTTTTTAATCCATGTCTTGCACTCTGAGTTACTACTTTTGTGGTTTTTGTTTTTGTTTTTAGACAGATCTTACTACGTAGTGCAGCCTGGTTTTGAACTCGCTTATGTAGCCCAGGTTAGCCCTGAATTCATAGCAATTCTCCTGCCTCATCTTCCCAAGAGCTGGGACTATAGGCATGCACCACCATATCCAGTTGAGTAAATACCTGTAAGATTATGATACATAGTGTATTAAATATTATTCTCTTATTATTTCATGAATTTTTTGATAAAACAAAAAGTAGAAATAAATTTTAAAAAGCAGAGTTCCTATTACTGATTAGATATCTCTACCTAGATGTTCCACATAACTCTAAAGCTAAATAAATATAAAACCATTCTTTTTCCCACCACACCTTGTTTTTCAGCTATTAAGCCACCTAAACAGAATGCTTAACTTTTTTCTTCTAACTTACTTTCTTGTTGCTAAGACAAAATACCTGATACCCAAGGAATGGAGGAAGGGTTTATTTTAGCTCATTGGGTGCAGAGGTTTCAGTCCATAGTTGCCTGGCTCCTAGGCCAGGGGAGCACGGCAGAGGGTCATGGCAGAGGAGAAACAGTCCATGGCATGGCGAGCAGGAAACAGCAAGCAGTGAGTCTCCCTTCCCTAAAGAGTCCATCCAGGCTGCAAGTCTATTGTTTGGTATCACTCACACCCAGGATGGGCCTTCTGTCTTCATTCAAATCATTCAGCCACACCGAGAACTGTGTCAAACCAGTCACCTGTCAGTGGTACTACTGGAGCATCTCCAGTGAGAGAAGGGCACGTAGCATCCTGTCAGTGCTGACCCTTTCCCTGGGTATCCATGTTACCCCCGAGGGGCAGAAGTGGAGAAAGGTCTGGAGCAATCTTTATTTAAACCTGTTGAGCTGAACAAAGCCCATCTGATGGGAAAATCTCTACAGACCCAGGTGTTTCTCCAACTCTGTTCCCAAAGCACAGTCATTTAATATCTAATTACATCAGGAAACCCCATCAGACATGGGTCTCTTTTATCATATCACTGAAGACGTGAGAGCACTGTGGCTCACTATTCCTGTATTTCTTCCTGAAATGCCATATTTTTTAACGTTTAGTTTGCTTTCATTGAACTCCTTCTCTGCACAACTCCTACTGGCCCTTTAATTTTGCCAGCCACATCTGTTAAAATTATTTTACTTGTTATTTCCAGGGGTATTTTCTCCACTAAAAGGTGAGCATCTTGAAGGCTGGCACTGTCTTATTTTCATAACCCTACACATCACACATTGTGAAGCTTACAGTAGATGCAAAATGTCTGCTAAATGAATGGGCAAATGGAAAACTAAATACTAATTACTATGTGTTCCCTCTCCTAAGCTTACCTGAAATTTCCTCGATGCTATTCGCATGCATGTCTAGAAGGACAGTTCCATTAATGAGGCAGCTCCTTAATTCGAAGAGACTGTGCAGCGAAAGGGTTGCCACATAGGGCTTGCTCCAGCGCTCTCCGCCGTCTTCCACATCTTCCTCAAACTTCAGCCACCTGAAAGCATTGCAAATAGCTTGAGGCCAAAGATAGAAAATGAGTTTTCAAAAGCGAAAAAAATATGAACAGTCTGACTAAACAGTGTGAAATCCAATCTATATCTTCAGGACATACTGATTAACTAGAAAAAGCAAGTGATAGAATAGTACAATACTGAGAAAAAATAAAAACCATAAAGAGTAGTTTAACTCCATTTTTATTTAGATAAAAACATAAAAATACAAACACATACATGTATAAGACACTACATATACTCCTTATTGAAAAGGTTTTGGTCCAGGCCGGATACTGTAGCTGGAAAAGGCCTCAGTGGGAACCAAGGAGCTCCATCTCCCCACCCCTAGGAATTTACCTCTGGCGCCAAACAAAGACCAATGGGCTACCTGTGCATCCCTAATGCCCCCTCAGGCTCCACCCCAAACCGAGGCTACTTAATGTGCCTCACTCCACGTGTTCCACGGAGAGATCCGACCCTGGGGTGGAGATGCCGCACCCCAGGAGGGGTCCCCGCATTTTCAGAATAAAGGTCATTTATATTTCATACTTCTTATCTTTTCAGCCGCCGGTGCACCACAGTTCTATCACTTATGACCCTTGGGGCAGTGGAATTACAGACAATTTTCATTTTCTTCTTGCTGCTTATCATTATTTTTTAACTTTCTACAATCAGCATGCATTGCCCGCACAATTAAAAATAGATCTAATTTCTATCATTTGGATATACAGACAAATTCACATTAATAAAAGAGATGATATTTTCTTTTTTTGAGTGTCCTCTGACTTTCAGAGCTCAGTATTCTGTGTGACCTCTAGAAGTCACAAAGACTGCAGGACAAAAGGTTAATTCATTGCCTTTTCACTTGGTGTCAGGTCAATTAGTTTGTTCAATAGTCCCCATCCACAGGAAATGTCCATAATACACAGATACCCAGAAAGAGGTATTTCAGTGACAGCTGGGGCATGGATTTGCTGGTCACCTCCTCTCCCCTTGTTTCCAGGATCCAGGCAGGCTGATTTCATATCAACCATGAGGATCACTGGTCAGTTACTACAGCAGCCTACTCAGGGCCTGGTTGGGTAACCAGATGGGCTGGTTACAATACCATAGGTCTCTGTGAAGCTGAATTCTACCAGAAGTAGTCAAAGTCTCAAAATTATAGGACTATTGTGGATTAAACCCTCAACGGTTCATTTGCAGAAAAAAATCTGAAAATACGCTATGACTGGCCAGGTTACAGTGACTTTATCTAGCATCTTGTAAACCAGACCTATAATATCAAGAGAGCCCACGGGGGTGAGATAGTTCATGCTTATAACCCTAGTAATCTATAGGCTGGGGCAGGAAGACTGTCGCAAATTTGATGTGACCATAGGCTATAATAGTGAGTTCAAGGCTATTCTAGGTCATACAATGAAACCTTGTCTCAACACAAAAAGAGAGAAAAAGAAAAGAAAGGAAGAGAGCACCCATGAACTTACTCTGAAGCTCAAACAAATGAGAGAGCCCTCTTTGAAGGTTATACATTTGTGTCACCAATTACAAGCTCCAGGTCACCTGGCAGATGAATGAGCAGAGATATCATGAAAAGACCAACACCAAGACTCCTAACAGGAGGCTCTAGAATGTCAGTCTTCACATCAGCTATCACTTCACCAAAAAAGAAAGAAAAGGCAAGCAGAGGGGTCCCTGGCTGAGCGTCTGCCTCCCAGACAGATCCTGATCCCGGTCATTTCAGGGCCTCACCTGGCTGTCTCCTTCCACTCAGCATCTTCCCCTTCTTTCATGCAGATCTCGTCCAGCTCTGTGAACAGCTCATGAGGCACATGCTCTTCATCTTCCTCTGTCCCAAGAATGAACTGAACACGCTGAGATGGTGTGTCTAGGAAAGCAACCGCAGAGACAGTCTGCAGCTAGCCTCAAATCAGAACAGAAAGAGCATCTGCCTTATCTAACCACTTCTGGAGTAAACAGAAGATGATCCTGAACACAGAATTCCTTTAGTCTCAAACAAAAAGCTATTCTGTGAAAGCAGTTTCATAAGAAGACAGATTTAAAAACTAACACTACTTGTAGAAATTCCCTATGAACCTAGAAATCTGACAAATTTGATCAAAAGGAAAGACTAATTCTCTAGCAAAGGATTACACCCTATTATGGCACTGATTTGGGGAGGCGAAGGGTGGGTACTGAACCATTAGGTTTTCGTGAACAAGCTTTTGATTCTTAAGGACATTTTTTTCTTGGAAGCAAACTCTGCAAAACCTACCAAAAGGCTAGAATCAAGATGACATGTTATACCCTGACGCACTCTCACCAAGCCTCCAGCCATCGATGCCCACCGCCTCCTCCCTCCTCCCTCCTTCCCTCCGGAGGGCTGAGGGCATTACCATGGGCCAGCGCTTCCAGGCCCTCCTCTCCCTGGCTGGCTCCTTTGCCCCGCCCTCGTCTCCGGTGCTTCTGGCCATGGGTGCGGTGGTGTCGATGGCTCTGCCTGCCCAGTGGCATCCGAACCCCCACATACAAAGTTCTGTGACCTGGAAGGAACCAATAAATCTATAGGGAGGATGCGTCTAGTCAAAGGAGTCTAGTATAGTTATCAGGAAAAAAAAATCCATTTGTTTTTTGGTGGGGGTGTGTTTTGGTTTTCGTTTTTGACTGATCACAAGTCTAGAATAATAAAACTTCAAAACTTCCAGGACTAAAGATTCAGCGCTCTTAGAGTTGAAGGCCTCTTCCTTTTCTAGCACATGGCTGCAGACCTCACGGGAGTGTTATAAAGATCCAAAGAAATCGTGTGTCTTAGGGGTTAAGGAGGTAGCTCAGGGGTAGAGCAAAGGCTTCAGCAAGTATAAGGCCCCAAGTTCAATCATCAGGGCCAAAAAAAGAAAAGGAATAACGTCTGCATATTGTACAGGCCTATAAGGTATTAGTTATTGGTATTACAATTACAATTTGACTGAGTGACTTTTAAAAAAGAAATATAATTGCTCTATGACAATTTTAGCAAATTCTTCCATAGACAGTTTAGAAAAATGGTTAAAATACAATTTAGCAGCATGGACTATACAGTAAGACCCTATTTCAAAATAAAACAAGATAAACCCTAACAGCATAGCACAACTCAGACTCAACTCAGCTTGCCTGTATCCAAAACTTGATTTTGTCATTGGCTAGTATGTGACCTTGAACAAGTTATCTTATCTCTCTGTGATTCTTTTTTTTTTTTTTTTTTTTGGTATCAGGGATCAAACTCATGACCTCGAACTCAGGAGACAGGTGTTTACACCACTGAGCTAAATCTCTGGCCTCTGATATCTTTTTAAAGGGGAGCAGAAGAGAAAGTAAAAAAGGATGGAGATGTAATATGTACATGTACCAATTCTCCACATGAAAATATTTACTCTGCATGCAAACAAATACAAATAAAGAAGGGGAAAAATTAAAAATAAGCTGGATGTGGTGGTGCATGCCAGTAATCCCAGCACTTGGAAGACTGAGGCAGAAAGATCTCTGAGAGTCTGAAGTCAGCCTGGGTTACACAGTGAAGTCAAGGTCAGCTTAAACAACATAGCAAGACCCTTTCTCAAAAAACCAAAAGAATAAAAATTTTTAAATAAAATATTTAAACTAAAGGAATACTAACAGCTTATCATTTCAATTCAGAGTGTGGTCATAAGCAAGAAGTAAGATAATACATGTAAAATATTTAACACAATGCCTTAAACAGTGATGAAACTTTTAAAGATCGAGTACTCAAACTACAACGCCAAAACCACTTAGGTCTTGCAAAGCACCAATACTGCGATTAACCCTGAACACTCGGCTTCCAGAGTGATGCTGGGATGACTTGGCTCGTGTGCCTGCTGTACCACACATGCTGTAGGTTTGCCACCACTGGCCTAGAGCGTACTAGCCACTACATTCTACAATCTGCTTCCTTTTTTTCCTTTTCTAGCACTACAGAATAAAACATCTAGAACAATCGTGAAGGTCTAGTTATAAATCGAAAAGAACATGGGGCTGAGTTTAAAAAGAAATAGTGTATGTTGCATGAAACGTGGAGAAGATGTGAAAATAAACAACCCAATAGCATTCCTCTCTGACTCCTGTCTCCTGCTCCACACCTGCTATACTGACTTTTCACTTCACCTGCCTTCCTGCCGAGTCTGGAGCCCAGAAGCCCCAGTCACTCCTGTACCTGCCACAAAGAACCTTGGTTTCCCCTGTTCCACCTGATTACTGCCTCACCCCTCCCAACCTCAGGCCCACTCCACATCTTCTGCCACTGAAGCTGCTCCAAACTTCGGCATCGTCCGTCCGTCTTCAAATCCACCACTCTAGTCACATTCCCTCCCTCTGAGCAGGTGACCTTGCTTCGCCTTTTCCTGAGGTGCCCTCCTATGAATGCCCTCCATCTCAATCAGGGCTTCTGTCTGCAAGGTTTATGCTCATGGCTCTTGATCCCATTTCCTCCTACCTTTCCAAAGCACTCCTGCCTCAGCTCTCTACAGTCCTCCCTGCCATTCATTCCTTTCATAGCTTCCTCCTGATCTTTTTTCTCCCACAGTACTAGGGGCTGAACTTGTGCTAAGCAGGCACTCCACTCCTCAGCCCTTTTGATTTTTTAATTTTGATCAGGATCTTACCAAGTTGCCTAAAATGGCACTGAACTAGTTATCCTCCGGCTTCAGCCTCCTAGGATTGGAGATGCTCCTAGGGTGACATTTGTAGCTCTATCTCTGTGCTCCCTCATCTACATTCCTGTAGATTAGGGACGCCAAGCCTTCCTCTCCTCCCACTTTGACAAAGGAAGATCTCTTCCTGCCTCCCTCCCTAATTTAACCTCATAGAATAATCCTCCTGTTCACAGCTATAAAATGACACACACACTCAGCTCTACAGATTCAGAACTCTTCATTCACAGTCCTCAGCCTACTTTCTAAACTTCTTTCCTTAGGACAAGTTATACATTCAAGGTGCAGATAAAAGGACACCCTCTAAAAGCAGAGTAATCAATCACCTCAAGAGATATGAAAGGGAAGTCCCACATGCTCACGCAGAACAAACATTTGAGAGAACACTCTGGACAAATACATCTTCTGTACGCAGCAACAGGCTGGCCTGGTTTTTACTTCCTCTCCTTCTCATGGCTCTGGCTGTACATCCACCATCACTTCACACCCTTTTTTTCTACCTAGAGCAGCGTGCTGTTGCCTAGATGTGCCAGTGCTTCCTGGATGCTGACTTGGCGCACTCAGCCAAGACTCTGCAAATGCACCTTCCTTTGGCAAAGTTTCTGATTTTCCTGATGGAGATGTATTGCTCCTCCCTCTAAATGCTCAGAGCCCTGTGCTAGGACTTCTTGAATGCACTTACAGTGGTATCTTGGTTCACTAACTTGATTCTTCCCATGATTCTGGTCACAAACCAAATTGGATGAGAACTGAGTCAATAAGGTCAATATTTCACCTAACAGTTGAATTTGATTCAGTTCTTGTCCAATTTGGTTTGCAACCAGGATAGTGAATTCAGTTCGAAAACCAAGGTACCACTGTATTTTATGTCTTGAATTAAGTTTTCTGCCTCACCATTAAGTTGAACAGCTATCTATCTTGTCCCTCACTTTTCATCTGCAAGTAAGCTCTTTCAAGGTCATAGTCAGACTTTCTCTGAAACCCCACATAATCAAACACATTGTCTTGTACCTTGGCATCGCTCCACAAATGTTTGACAAATGGGATATTTCCTAAGTGCCTCCTCCAGGGGTATAACCCCTTACAACTCCTCAGAAATACCCAACCTGACCTAAAGGGCCTGTGATCTGAAAGAGGCTACAAAAGGATCATGTTACAAAGTGAATATGTTTAAAATAGTAGCAAGGCATGAGAGGGATTGTGAAGATCCTAACCCATCTGAGAATGGACAGCTTCATAGGACGACTTCCCAGAGAGAGGGGCTTTATGAGAAGAGCTGCAAACTCTTTATCTTCTCTTCTCAGCCAGTAAGTTTCGTAAGACTGCACTCAACTTCCCTGATAGTGCTTTCCACTTCCAAGAGAGGACAGAGTGCCTTGGGTACTGCTCTAACACACCTTGGCCAATTTCCTCCTCCTCCTTTTTTTTCTCCTCTTATTTGCCAAACTCTAAAATGATAATACAAAATAAAATAGAAATAGTAACTATTAGAAGAGATCACAGACTTCTCAGAATACAGAGTGCAGAAGAATAGAATATTTAATACTTGATGGAATCACCTCTAACCCTCCTCCTATGTTGCCTCATGCACATCTCGGGACATTTCAATACGCAGATCTCTGAATGCAGTGTACTTCCCTTGCAGCTTCATAGAAAGATTTGGACCAGAGAAAATCATCTGCTAAGATCTGAAATTCCAGACCTCCAACATTATCAATATAAAGTACGTAAAGGAGGAAATGACTAAACTAGCCTGTGTAGTAATTCCAGCTACTCAAGAGGCCAAGGCAGAAAGAATACAAGTTAAAGGCCAGACTGAACAACTCACAGCAAGACCCTGTCTCAAAATAAAATGAAATCAGCTGGGGATATAGCCCAGCATTCCCTAGGTTCAACGCTCAGAAATACACACACACACACACACACACACACACACACACACACACACACACATTTAAATGAGTATCATCCTATGGAATATCACTGAGATCAACTCAGATGGCATTAACAGTAGAATGAAGTCACCTAATTGTACCAGGTCCTGTCTTAAGGGCTTAGGATATAGTATTGAACAACACAGTCTTCAGAATATATATTCTGCTTGGGAGAAACAAACATCATGAAAACAAGAAGACATTATCTCTACAGACATGGTAGTTCACACCTGTAATCCCAGCTACTAGAGAGGCTGAGTAAGGACGATTGCAAATTCAAGCCCAACCTGGGCAACTTAGTAAAACTCTGTCCCAAACAAAATCATTTTTAAAAGGGCTGGGAGCCAGAATGGTGGCACACAACTATAATTCTGCCACTCTGGGAGGCTGAGACAGGAGGATAGCAAGTTCAAGCACCTGAGCTATTTAGCTAGTTGGCAAGACCCTGACTCACTATTTAAATTTTTTAAAAGGGTTGAGGACATAGCTCAGTTCAAAGACCCTGGATTCAATCCCCAGAAATATAAAAAGAGAGGGATTAGGAATGCAGTGCAAAATTAAAATGCTTGCCTAACATGTCCAAGTATTGCAGATATAAATATGATTTCAAATATGGATACTTATTATGAAGCAGAAAAAGTGCTAGAGTGTCTTTGAAGAGGGGAGGATGGAAGAGAGAGCCTTTAGCTGAGAGGATTACATGGGACATCTCAGAAAAGGCCATCAGAAGACCTAGGAGAACACCCTACTCTAGGAAAGAGAAGATCTTAGTGCACAGGCTGTAAACTGGGACGCGCATGAACGCAAGGCAAAGGGACGGCCAGGAGCGTCAGAATAAGGTGGAAAGGGGAAGGAAAAGATGCAGAAGAGGACAGAAAGACAAACAAGAACAGATCATGAAGAATC